TGGGGACATCAAAATGAAAAAGTAAATCGGTCCCGGGCCTAGGTCTTACCGTGCCACCTACGGTAATAGATACTTCCCTATAGGGAAATTCGCTAAAACATTGATGTTTAGAAAACATCTACTATCGATGCTCATCCCTTAACTAAGTTAAGTTTTTTTTAGACTGCTAACAGATTCAAGTAATACGGAGTTTCAATAGCCTACAGGACTCAGAACACCATGAGTAGAATACTGCATCCAAAAATAGAAGATTGTAACAAATTCGACACTTCGGGCATCTATAAAATCAATTGTAACGATTGTGATAGCTTCTACATTGGACAGACTGTGAACTTCGTTAACCGCTTCAAAAACCACATATCTGCATGGAGGAACAACAAACCGGAAAGATCAAATGTCGCACAACACCTGTTACAAAATGGGCACTCACTAGGAAAAATTGAGGATAGTCTAGATATTTTAAAGAATTGTAAGAAAGGATATGTAATGAATGCTTGGGAAGAATTGTATATTTATAAGAAAAAATGTAAAGATAGAAATAAGTTGATTAATGAACAAATACATTTTGATTCCAGTTGTACTTATAAAAATGTATTGGCCGGTGCTTCCGGTAGCCAATAGGGTATAAGTAGGGACACCATTCAAGATTCTTGTCATTCGCCTATTGGGTCTGATGATGATTGTAGTGTCCTATCGAAATCGATCACCACTTACCATCTTTTTTGTATATTTACCGTCTTGTGAGTAACAGTATAAGCGTAAATATATGTTTTAAGTGTTATAAGACGTTTCTTTTATTTACTTTCCGTCTTTTATTTAAAACCCCAGAACACATTTTAAAATTCGTCCATACAGCAAGCCGTTGTCCCCAGTAAAATGAAAATTGCCAAAATTTACCCAGTACGGTAAAAAGGGCGAAAGGTCAGCCCCAATAATTATAGGCCTATCTCAAACCTAACCACCATCTCTAAACTGCTTGAAAGGACAGTCCATAATCAACTGATAGCCTACTTGGAAGACAAAAACCTACTTTCCCCTTGCCAGCATGGGTTTAGGAAGGGGTTTAGTGGTTTAGCACAAACACAGCAATAGCTAAGCTATGCAAGGACATAAACAACATTTGGGAAGGTAAAAAAAGTGCAACAGGAATTTTTCTAGACCTGCAAAAAGCATTTGATAACTCAGACTGGAATATTTTTATGAGCAAAATGCAGCAGTTAAACATTACAGACAAAGCCCGGCGATGGATTGTAGACTACCTTACAGACAGATTCCAGTTTGTAGGAATTCAGCACCAGCAACAAAACACCGTATCAAGTATTAAGTCAAGTTTGAGGAAGACTACCAGAGGCGATCCACAGGGCTCAATAGTCGGTCCACTGTAGCCTATTTCCTGACTTACCGGTACATCAACAGCCTACCAGAATCATTCAACGGCAACATAAATTGTATTTTATTTGCAGACGACACAACCATAGTAGTACTTACCCACCAACCATCATATTGACAATTGTAACCTAGTAAACTCAACAATTGACAGAGCAACCACTACATGAAACTCTATGAAACTTAATACAAGTAATGACTGTCCTCGTAAACTTTACTCCAAACAACAAAAACAAATCTGGTGGCAATTGGCATGACCTCAGCATACCCCTATCGCGCTCAACAAAATTCCTCGGAATATATGTTGACCAAAATCTCAGCTGGCAGGACCACGTTGACTACCTCTGTGGGAAATTATCTTCTGCACACCACATTGTTCGAAGAATTAAAGCCATCACTAATGAACCTATAGCATTAATAGCCTACCACCCCCTCTTTTTTCACATTTGCGTTAAGGAGTTGTTGCCTGGGGATCCACAGCGGACAAGAACATGGAACGCATCCTCACCATCCAAAAGAAGACCATAAGGACAATCTTTCAACTGCCATCCCATGAACACTGCAAGCCGATTTTCAGAGATCACAAAATCCTTACAGTCATATCCCCGTACCTGTTGGAATCCATCACACTTGCAAAAAAATCTACACCTACCCTAAGATCAGAACAACATTCATACAACCTCCGCAACACACATAACATAGACTTGCCACAACATCGATTGCAGAAATTCAATAATAGTCCTCACTATTCTGGCTCTTACTTCTTCAATTTATTACCACCACAACTCAAAACCATCAAAAAACCTGTCATCTTCAATAGCTAACTAACACAATACTTAACAGTTAGGCCATATTACACAGTCCCAGACTTCATTGAAGAGCTCACTTTCCAACACCTGAGACATGAATAGGCCTACAAACCCATTTTTACCCTGGTCCAAAGAAGAAGTATGACGATTCCGCAATCCCTGGATTGTGGAGAAGACACCGGATGGTAAATGGTAAAATCAGTTTTGCATGTAGTCAATGCTATCGTGCTATAAGTTAACCAAGGTTTTATGGTCGGCTATATGTATTTTATTCAGTTGTTTATGTTCAGTTGTATGTATTCTATGGATAATTTGGGAGCGCTTCATAATCTCCAAATTTCACAAACTCCAACGCTTAAAATATTCAATCAACAGAGTGTTTCATAAGCTCCAAAACTATAACATTCAAATAATCACTGTTTCACAATGTCCAAATTTCACAAACTCCACCGATTATTTCACAAAGTCCAGCGTTAATATATTAAATAAACAGAGCGTTTCATAATGTCCACGTTGAACTGGAGGACGGAGTAACATGCAGACGACATGTAGATCAAATGCTGCGGTCAAAACTTTAAAGGGGGAAAATTGATGTGTCTTTTCTAACATACTGTATGTTAAAAAAAATAACATATGTTATGCTTAATAAGTTAACTTTGTTTTTGTTTACAATCATTGTTATTTAGGATTCATTTCAGAATACACCTATTTTATTTTACACATCTTTTATTTAATATTTTACACACACGTTCATAATTTTTGTAATAATTCGGAAAGTGATCGATGACGAAGCTTTTCCCAAGTAAGCTTAGAACATTTCAAAAAGAACTTCATCTGTTAATTTAGTTGGATTGGCCAAATGCAGACATGTTTATTTTATTATTCAAAATGGAATGCTCATAGTAAGATTGAATCTAGTGTCCTCATTAGTTAATCTTTATGATTCACATACCGTTTCTGTTATAACATTTGTGGAATAATGCTATCAGCTATATAAAGTCAACGGCTGATCCTTATGATACAGTTTATATGTTAAATACTGCTTCCATATGAATTTAAACTAGGGTACATAAGCATTGAAAATTTGAGACCCGAGGGGCGGAATTAACAATTTGATAGCCAAATTTAAGACCTATTCGACCTGTAGTTATTGCGTGATTGGACTTCAAAGAGACAAAAAACACACAAACTTTTACATTTATAATATTAGTTAGGAAGTACGATTATATTAACGAGGCTTTAATTATCCATGTTGCAATATATAAACTAATAACTTCATTGATAGTGTAAATCAAACAAGGAAAATGTAAATTTGATTAGTCTGCAGGTTTGCTGCGGAAGGGGTAATAATACCAATACTTAAAAATTTTTACAACGCATCTACGGACCAACAATGATGTTTTGTGACGCGCGGCTACAACACTTACGCTTACATACCGAACCACGGCAACCTCTGCAGCGACTTCTGGCCGAGACTGTACTGTTGGAGCTTATGAAATTTGGAGATTATGAACCGCAGTGTTTATTTAATATTCTAATCGTTTGAGTTTGTGAAATTTGGAGGTTGTGAAACGGTAAGTAGGCCTATTTGAAAGTTATATTTTTGGAGTTTATGACATTTGGACATTATAAACCGCTCTGTTTATTTAATATATTAACGTTGGACATTGTGAAGTCACCGTTGGAGTTTGTGAAATTTGGACATTATGAACCTCACCTGATAATTTTATACACTTGTTTTGGTTCAGATAGTCTACCCATTGACTTAAAAATAGCCTAGGCTATTAAGTAATAATATGCCTTTTAGCCTAGCAGGCTAAACCTACTAGCTTACTACTTGTGGATTTTTCAAGGCAATTTTATTTTGATAACATAAAACCCCTAACTTGCTTATTTATTCAAATTAGGGTGAGCAAGAACAAAATAACACTTTTTTATTGATAAGCCCATGAAGCACTTGAACTAATTGTTTCACTGAAGGAGCTAGGTTAGGATAGGACATTTAACTTTCTATTTCTGCTTTCTGGACTTTTATTTTAAACATTCCTGGACTATTCCAACAATCCTAATAAACAATAAACTGTCTTTAAAAAATTGGTTCAAGGCGCGAAGCACATTGCACACCGAGGAACAAGAATAGGTACGGATCTACTTTGGTTGAAACTATGATCTTTGGCATATGTTGGGAAGGGCAGGTTGGGGTTTATGCGGTTTCATGGCTGCATTAAGTGTATTGAAGTTTGGTTAGATTAGGTAGTTAACGTGTAGGCTATAACTTAGGTAATCGGGTTGTTTATTGATGTTACACCCATATTGTTTTCTATCTTTTGGAAGTAGGCCTAGTTTGTTAAACGAAGAGACAGTTTCAAAATGTTATGCTTGCAACCCAAATACGTATAATCTACACTTTATCTAACCTAATCTAATCTAGTAGGTACCTTTAAAGGACTTAATGCAGTCACGAATCCCAATAAAGCAAATCAATAATTGAATTATTTTAGTACTTAAAAATATCGTCCCCTTCCCCCTCCTTTATGTAGTATATGTACTGCCCTTTACAAGTGATTTGCACAGAAAACTGGCTGTTTCGGCATTGGCGTTGGTGTTTTTTTGAAATTATTCATTTACTTTTTTCACTTGTAACGTTGTTCGGCAGAGATGTTTAAATGCAAAAAGTGTAATCCCACTCATGCTATGTTTAAAAGACTAAGTATCTTGGAAGATTATGCGTCCACGCCTATAGGTTTATTGCATCGGCTAACCATAAGTATAGCTTCTATCTAACTGTGGTTATTTTTATTGCAGCTCAGCAAGCAACCGTATCATCCATGCAAAGGACCATGCTTCAATTCAGCTGGTAATTGCCGATGTCGACCATACAACAGGACAAGCCCTGGCGAAATCTAAGATGTATGCTATCTGTGGCCCAATCCGCCGAATGGTAAGATAAAATTCAATCATAAGTAAACATTTAATGAATTAAAATGAAATTGAAAATGAAATAGATTACCTGTTACCTAAATGCTTGTACACTTTACACGTTAATGTCATGCTTTTTAGCCAGCTGTTATTTTTTGCTTTCTTAATCCTGTTGAATTAATTATAAAGTGTAACTGAATTATCTGAGTACTAAGCAGTTGCAATTATAAAGTGTAACTGAATTATCTGAGTACTAAGCAGTTGCACGGATATTGCTCAAGGATCCATTGTTTTTTTCCAGCGGATCTCATTAAAATGATTCTATAAGGAATTATGTAAATGCTTCATTTTTCTATTGGAATTTGATTTGGTAATTGTTTACAATAATGCATTTTAACACAAAAAAAAAACAATAAAAGGTTTAAATTATCTTCAATTGAACAATGTACTGAGTTAGATTAAGGAACTGTGACGCTATTTATTGTATTGCTGTACATGAAACAAATAAAGAAGTTTTGAATTTGAATACCTGTATCCGTCAAGTGATCCTGGTTTGTAGTTAGTTGACTACAGCTGTTTCGAGTTTACATAAACACATCCTCATGTCAAAATGTTGCATTGACTTATTCCATAGAATGGTCGTCATAAGGTTTAAAGTTCACAAAAATAACACATACATGTACACAAAACATTTAACATTGATTGGCCAAAACACAAATACAAAAAAGCGCAGTAAACATCGGACACGTACGGCGCCGGTAAAAGGTAGGTCATGACTGCCGTCACAGCCACCTCTAATACAGGGTGGGGCAATGAAAGCGCCCCAATTTATAAGCAGTACAAACTCAATAATATTTACCCGATGGATATAAATAGCACATCAAAACACAGCTTATCTTTTGCCATTTTAACTTAACAAAGTCATTTTCCATTTCTTGAGAATGAAATCCTGCAAGTGACGTCCTTGTCCTACTTGACATTAGGCACTTAAAAACTCCGTCAAATACTCCTCCAGCATTTTTTGAGGAATCACTTTAGTTTTTGGACAATTCTTAGCTTTGGTTCAAGCAAATCTGTGGGGTGACTTTGAAAAACCTCGAACTTCAATTAAGTAGCTTATTAGAAACCCCCCCCTGTCCAAAAAAAGGAGCCAACGTAAAGCTTTAAACAACAGCTTCCTGGCAAATCTCTTTGGACTTTGAGTTACTGCGACTCGCACTCTTTCAACATTTGCTGGTGTACAAAGAGTTTTGCGGCACCCACCGATGTTTTTTTAGGTTTAAGTGTTTATCCTAAATAGTTTTACCCAGTTCACCATTGTTTTCCTGGAACAGTGCCATGTTGACCATGGATAAAATGTGGTCCAAACAATCTCTGGGTTTTTGCACAAGAACCACTATTTTAAAAATAGGTTTGCACATCAAAATCTCAGTGTTAATAGCCTCGGGCATAATATTTACTAAAATGGCATAGTTTAATTGATGTTTTAAGCACAGCTGATCATTCGTTGTTGCAACAATTAACATGTGACAGCTAAAACAAATTGTGGCGTTCTCATTGCCCCACCCTGTACAAGGCCGCGGCGAGCGAAAAGTGGCAACGTTGCTTCCGTGTCTTGGTGTGCGGTTGTCTTACCATTACAGTGAATGGAGGAGTCGCGTACTCTACGTACATAATCGCGTTTCTACTACCCTTAATCATTAGTAATGACATTGAACTTGTAACTACAGCATGCCAGATAGATGTGATGTGCCTGGATGTAAGAATAATTACGAAAGCTCAATTAAAAATGAATAATACATACAGTGTTTGGCTTCCTGCTATTCTTCGGTCAAATTATCTTAAACAATTCTAGTTTTTGTGTGAAACATTTTCACGAATTTGAACTTAGATATTTGTAAAAGTTTTTAAGAATAAGACAATGATTTGTGTAAACATAGACGCGAGAAGCAAGTTTTAGGTATGAGAATGCCATACTATTTCCTTATTTATTTGTCTATCTCATTGATAAAAGCTGTTGTTAAGTGATTAAAATAACTTAAATAACTAGCACTTCGAAGAAATAAACCGGTGTTTCTGTTAAGTAGGCCTACTAGTAAAAAATATGTACTGCACCATCTAACAATAAAAACATCATAGGCTCCGACTCCAGTCTGAATGTTGATGTGATAAAAAAATTCTATTAACATTGTGGAAAGCCATATGGAGGCCTAGCTACAAAGCCTAGGAACAAACTGATCAGCCTACCGGTTGTATAACCCCTCTACATGTAAATACAAATGTAAATAACCATGACAATGTAAATATTGAATCTGAAACTCCTATGGAAGATCGGCTTGAAAATCGTGTGGAATGGAATAGTGTCCAACATGGAAATCGTAGCCAAAACAAAAGCTACGCCCAAACACTTGTCGAGGGTCGGTCTGACAGAAACCAGCGTCAAAAAAATGCAAATGTCAAGATATCTTCCTACGTCAGCGATAAATCAAGGGGTCATGGCTCCATGACAAAGAAGAAGAACAACAAACATGAAAATATTGGCACTGTCACTTCACTCACTTCAGTCACTTCTGTCAGTGGTCGTGAACGAGAAAATGGCCGCCGTAAAAGTGGAAATAGTGTGCTAGTGGGTACTGGAGGAAATAGCGACATTTTGGCTGGATCTAAACGAGCTTGGTTTCATCTGGGGAAAGTAAAACAAGGCACTTCGGTTGAGACTGTAAGGCAATTCCTGTCAACAAGCTTCCCTGAATGAAAAACTTGACACGAAGGGAGTTAATGAGAGCTTCAAACTTGGTGTGGGCTTCGACGCCAAAAACAAAATTATGAACAGTTCTGTGTGGCCTAAAATCGTGACAATCAAATGTTTTTTTATTCTGGAGAGCCTCGGAAAATTTGCTAAATCAAAACTTCGCTCTGACTGCTCATACTCAGAACCTAGCCTAGGCCTAGACCATGATATAAGTCGTAGGCCAAACGATTTAATTAAGTTTGGTTTTTAAAATGTGCAGTGAATGAATGAATGAATGAATGAATGAAAACAGTGCTTTATTGAACAAAAGATTTTCCTTACAAACCTAGGCTCCTCGCAGGAAGCCACAATGACTTACACTAAAACCGTAATGGTTCATAGAACCGTATACGTGGTTGGCATACACCTTTTTTTATAGTACACTTTTAATTTAAAACTATAAATTAAATTCTGGACTAAAATCAAAAGTAAAAAGTCTGAAATCAAAATGTTTAATTAAAGCAATTGAAACTAAAAAATAAAATAGCTGGCTCACAACCCAATATATGTTATAGATCCATATATACACACACACACATACTTACATACATACACATACATATATTAAAACCAATACCCCCACCCTAAAGAAAAAGAAATCTTGTCTTAAAGTCAATGAACCGGGCATCTACCTACAAAATGGAAAATGTTTTCATCCTCTTGAAAATTACAAAGTGAGCAATGGACATTTTGTTCCAAAATCCAAGGTTTATAATTCAGATGTATTGCCTCAGCTCTTGCCTTGAAAATCCAACGCTGTAAATTCATACTAATATTATCTGAAAGATAAGACCGATGGCAGAGATTTAAGTCAAGTGATCAATTGATCAAGTGATTGATCAAGTGATTTAAGTCAGTGTGGTGATAACGACATTCCAGCGCGGCTTGATTCCAGGCCTGCTTGTTCGCCGTCCTAGACTCTACAACTCTTATCAGCTGATCCTGCATTGATCCTAAACATTCAATATTAAAGTCTATGTTAATACCATGCATTTGACCTAAATTCCTCCATTCTCTAGCCCAGGCTACGTTTTTAAAAATAACTTGCTTGGCAAAAAAGTTTGTAAGTCTGTTCGCTGGGAGCGACAAAGATTGTATTAAATAATTGACATTTGACATTAAGGTATAACAATACATATTTTCTATTCCTGTCTCTAAATGCAAAATATAATTAGGCACATACTTTGGAAGGCAAAATATTTTCTTAATAAATCATTTCAAAATTCCCTCAACCTGTTGACTCTCTTTAAAACCCCAAATTTGGCTTTCGTAACACATAATTGATCTTATCAATGAATTAAAAGCAAAAACCTTGGAGCTCAACGGGACATTTCCATTGTAAAAAAAATCTCTCCACAACGAATTCATGGCAAATTTTGCAGCTACAGATTTTTCTCGCCAATGACTTTCCCACAACAGTTTTGTAGTTAATAATATTCCCTTAAAGAACTAAACTAAATGTAACCTCGCTTTTTTGTGAAGAAAATGGCATTAGTGTTAGTGAACACTGGCTTGTGACAAGTGAGACTGATTATTACAGTAGGGTTGGTGGACTAAATTTAGTATCATCCCTCTGCCGCAATCACCATAAAAACGGTGGTGTTGCTATATACCTCAATGAAAAACTAAGCTACAAGGCTATAGACCTATCACGTTTTTGTGTGGAGACTGTCTTTGAGGTTGTTGCAATCGATCTAATAGATTTCTCTGCCATTGTTCTAAGTGTGTACCGGCCCCCTGATGGCAATAGTGACACTTTCTTTGATCTATTTGACCAATGTCTGGCCTATATTACTGATTTCAACAAAAAGGTAATTGGAGGAGACTTTAACATTGCTCTGAACCTTAAGAATCCGATTACTGATGATTTCTCCAATGTGTTGCGGAACCATGGACTCTTTGTGACAAATACACTACCGAGCAGAGGTGAAAACTGCTTGGATACTGTGGCTACCAACTTGGATGCATGGCACTAAAGGGTTTGGGTAACGGAGGCATTTGTGGCTGATCACAAGGCCGTGTTAATGTGGACCAACCTCAATGTGGTAAGTCACCTTTCTGATTTTCCTGTGTGGCATGATAGTTACATAAGACATTTCAGACAACGTTGCAACTGGTAAAGCAGACGTTGACAACCTCAGATCACTCTATACTAGGGCAAAAAAACTTTAAAGGTGGAAAGTAGATGAGGCTAAGAGGGCTGCAAATGCCAAAAGTATTGATAGCTCGCT